TGCCTGTTGTAGTTTGTATGGTGTTTTCCTGTCTTCTTTCCTTTAACTGACACTGAAGGGTCTTGTTTCTCCAAATATTTTTTTTTTAAGATTTATTTATTATATATACAGTGTTCTGCCTGCACATATAACTGCAGACCAGAAGAGGGCACAGATCACATTACAGATGGTTGTGAGCCACCATGTGGTTGCTGGGAATTGAACTCAGTATCTTTGGAAAAACAGTGCTCTTAGCTGCTGAGCCATCTCTCCAGTCCAGGTCTTGTTTCTCATCTGATCATCTCTTGCTTTTAGCTGGTGCATCAGCCACTTGCACTTAGTGTACTAACTGACACAGTAGGATTTCATCTACCGTGACATCACTCTCTCTACGCCTGTTTTTTCTCTTTCTGCCACATTGCCAATTATCTGAATGTGGAGATCTGGTTTTGACTTGTTGGGTTTGAAAGATAGTTTCTGACTGGGCCCTGGGCCAGGAAACACATGTTGTGACCCTGAAGTATGGTCTTGCCTGTCCGTGGCAGGCAGACTAGACATCAGTGGCCCAGCTTTTGTTCCTGAGGAACCTTGGGTACACTCCTAGGGAAGAGAGCAATCTGTAGTGGAGAAGAAGACAGCTAGGTGGTGGGACAGGTAACTGAGACTCAATGTCACATGGCTCCCTGTCTTCTTCCTTAGACAGCTAAAGAAGGGTGGCAAGCAGGCATCTGCATCCTATGACTCAGAGGAAGAGGAGGAGGGCCTGCCCATGAGCTATGATGAAAAGCGTCAACTCAGCCTGGACATCAACCGGTTGCCTGGCGAGAAGCTAGGCCGTGTGGTGCACATCATCCAGTCCCGGGAGCCCTCGCTCAGGGACTCAAACCCAGATGAGATTGAAATTGACTTTGAGACCCTGAAGCCAACCACGCTACGGGAACTGGAGAGATATGTCAAGTCTTGTTTACAGAAAAAGCAGAGGAAACCGTTGTGTAAGTTTTCTGGCAGAGCATGTGGCTCATAGCCTCTGCAGCCCCTGAGAATAGGCACTGGCTCACAGCTGCCTTACTGTCTAAGCCTACCTGCCCACCACAGGCCCCAAAGACATCTGCCAGTACATGCCTGCCCCCATATCCTCTTCCCTGTTCTCTGCTAAGGAAGATGCCTATTAGGCCTTAACTGGCTTGTAGTGGAAAGGTAGGACTGGGGTTGGCCTCGCCCATTTGTTCATGTCCAGTTAGGGCCCTTCTCTCTCCCCTCCCTTCCTAAAGCTCCATCTGGGGCTTTGACTGCAGGGAAGAGTCTCACTCCCTTGACTCATCAAGTGTCCAGAATCTCTACAGGATGGACTCTGACCCTAGGTAAAGTGCACCCTGAATTTGATAGTTTCACCAGACAGGAACCAGTCACTGCCAGAGTCTGCAGGTGCTGGAGGCTGGGAGGAAGGGAAGTCCCAAGGCAGCCCCTCACTATCTAGGCTCATGACAACCTAAGTGTGGCTGCTCGTATGTGTTTGATCCTCTTTTGCTCTGGAACAGACTGACTTGAAGGTGATAATGATAAATCTGACGGTGAAGGCGTAACTTTGCCAGACCATGTCAGTCTCTGTGGCTTAGGCAGGAGAGAATAGCTGTGCTGAAGGAGGACTGAGACAGGGTCTGTGCCCTTCCCGTGGACAGAGGACAAGTCAGAGCCCAGACTCTAAACTCTGGTAAGGTGTAGAGATGAGGGAAGGCTCTGTAGATGTGTCACGGTGGTTCCAGGTCCCTGGTGTTTCCTACTACACAGGGATCCGATAACAGCTCTGCACCAAAGACACTGATTCTGCAGCAAGGCAGGTGGCGCATGCACTAGTGTGTGGGACTGGGACTTTTTGGCTGCCTGGTTGGCTACTGGCTGCTGGCAAGTTATAGGGAATGTCTCACTGCTTACCTGCCATTCTACAGCAACAAGTGGGAAGAAGCAGGCAGCCAAATCGAAAGAGGAGCTAGCTCAGGAGAAGAAAAAGGAGCTGGAGAAGCGGCTACAGGATGTCAGTGGACAACTGAACAGCAAGAAACCCACTAAGAAAGGTAACCATCCAGGCCATCAGAGGACAGTAATCACAAGGACCAGAAGAGTTTGATCAACCTCCTAGTATCTCTTAGATTTATCTACAACTAGGGGTGGGGGCATCTTTGGCCTTTGGGAGGTTGCAGAATCTTGTGTGTGTGTGTGTGTGCACGTGTAAGCTCCTAAAGGCCCACACAGTTGGGTTCCTGGAAAGAGCTCCTTAGGCCTGGGATCCACCCCTAAGCATCAATCACCAGCTTGTAAGAAGCAGCTACTTTCTGGCATTCTAACCCAGCATATTAAATTGGTGTAGTGGCAAGCTCTGTCTTCTGCCCAGGCCCTAGGTTTATGTGAGTGGGTATTTTTGTCTCTTCTCTCTGGAGTTTGAGACCTTTTCCCTTTGTTTCAGAGATGCTCTAGAATAGCAGGATATAGGCAGTGGACAGAGTCTGAGACCATTGGTCAGCTGGGATCCCACCTGGGCTTGCATACCAAGTGCTATAGTTTTGTGGTTTATATCTTCCTAGTGTCAGATAGGGCAGTGAGGGTCTGTGACTTGTGTCCTAGTGTGGCCACGTGGCCACTGAATGCTATTTTATGAGCATCCTTCAAATATTTGCTGTACCTCTGGGTCAAGACACAGATAACCTGTGACAGGGTAGTGGCGTGAACACTTTTGATCACACACTGCTCAGCGAGGGCCTCCTTGCTGTCCCTACAGAGAAGTCCAGCTCAGCGCCCTCGGGAGGCCCATCAAGGCTCAGCAGTAGCAGCTCCTCTGAGTCTGCGAGCAGCAGCTCCAGTGGGTCCAGCTCCGACAGCAGTGACTCAGAGTGAACTCGGACTGGAACAGAGCTGGACAGATGGATGTGGCACACGCCGACTGCAGTGTCCCCTCCTATGGTTAATATACTTTCGTTCCATGGTGTGCAGGTTTTCTTTTACTTCAGTGTTATGATCTCTTCCAGCTGTGCTCCGGTAGGGCGGAGAGCCTCGCACGTGCACCAGACCCCAAGAGAGGGCCGAGCTCTGCGGGAAATGCCTTTGCAGCTTGGTTCAGTTGTTTGGAGACTGCGGCCTGGGATGCTAACGTGATAACCATAGACACAGTGGGAGATGTGTCTGGACCTGCCCAATACCTCTTCAGGCCCAGCCTCGCCCTTAGTAACTTGGAGGAAGCCTTTCAAGGGTTTTGGTCTAGAATGGGTTCTGTGTTTGAAAGCTGTTAGAACACTAACCAGCAGGTTACTTCTCTCTGCAGGGGCTGAGGACAGGTGTCAGCCCACAGAAACCAGGCTGGGCCCCAGCAGAGGGTCCTGGTAGCTGCAGACCAGAGCCTTCCACTTCTGGGTTGGGTGTGGAGGAAGAGGGGTGCTGAGTTCTCTGGCCCTATGGCTGTGCAGCGTGCAGGTTTCGGGATACCGAAACTTTTACCTCAACTTAAGGGAATAAAACAAAAAACAAAAAGATTTAAAAAAAAAACAAAAACAAAATAGAAAACAATAACAAAAAACTTTTTTGTAAGTTCATCCATTTTCTACAGAAGTCCAGTCCAGCGTGCCCCACTTTGCTAGCGCTGCCTGGCTGCCGCCACCTCACACTCTGAACCACCTCCCCAGTTTTATGTATATATAAATACTTTATTTATTAACATCATTGGTCATTTTTAAAAAAAGGAAAAAAAAAGAAAAGAAAAAAAACATAAATAAGTGCATTAAGAGAAGTAGTGGAGATACAGGCCTCTGGTAACGATACTGGACCCGTGGTGAGAAGATTTGGTCCTGTGGCGGCGTGCCCTTCTGGTGCTCATCACGTCTGGGCTCTCTGGGTTTTTTTGTTTTTTTTTGTTTGTTTGTTTGTTTGTTTTGTTTTAGATGAAGTTTGGGGATTTTACAAATGTAGACACCCTTCGGCTGCAGCGCATCCTCATTTTTATGTTGTCTGTTCAGTTCTTTCGTACTAACATCAACGGAGGGAACCTTGGTTCTTCAACACAAGCTTTGTAAGCTGAGAGAAAAACGATGTATATCAGGCCAAGTCCTTGACATTTAATTTTCTATTGTAAAAAGTAATAATATACAGAGTTTAACAGAAAGTTCTGATCAGTTTGTTGTTGTGGAGGCTGCCAAATGGTTTTGGAATTCAGGGTCAGCCTGGATTAGCTCTGAGCATTGTGGCCTCAGCCAGGAGCACATGGGCCATTCTCCCAGGCCTGTAAGTACCTGCCTCTCCAGCCTGCAGAGGCTCTTCCTGACCTACTTTTGACAGGGACAAAGGTGAGCCTGATAATTGCAGGGGTCCCTGTTCAAGAATTTCCAGTTAGCCCAGAAAACTGATTCTCCTGATCCCCACCTGAGAGAGCCAAGTGCAGAGCCTTGTGTTGTATGGTTTTACTTGTGGTGGGGTCTGTGCAGTTTCTTCCTTTGCTTCTAGGCAGAGCCAGGGACCCTTAACATCCCACATGGGAGAAGTTTAAAACTCCTAAAAGCAGTCCCACTAGCCTACTAGTGAATGTGGGCAGGCAGTGGGCATCAAGCTCGGGAAGTGGCTGGCTGGCTACCATGTCTAGACGCCTGGTGAGTTATCAGTCAGTTTGTTAAACTTGTAAGCCAGTTTTGTTTATAATAAAAATATAAGTGGATTTTAAGGTTCCATTTTTTTAAAGTTACCCTTGTTTTTCAAAGGTATTTTTTAAACAGATCTTTAATAGAATATTTAAGCTGTGACTAAGAAATAAACATGAGGAAATTGACGGGCCTTCACATGGGGTCTCAGTGGTGGCCTACCGTGACAGCTAGCCAGCATGCCTGGGCAAGGCACAGTGCCTCTGTGAGCTGTTAGGCAAGCAGAGTCTGGCTCTGGAGTGGCATCCCAGCAGCGGGGCAGTGGTGTAGAGCTGGTTACACGGGATGGAGGGTCTGGCATTTCCACGACTGTGGTCCCTACTGAGCAGCTTCTGTCATTGGTGCTTTTAACTTTTTTTTTTTTTTTTTTTTTTAAGCTTTCTGTCTAGACTTAAACTGTTTTGTCTCCACATTGGTTCCCACAATGCCAGGCTGCAGGGTAACTGCCATTCCCTTCTTGTGAGTTACAAAGGCTACATGGACTTAGATTGTCCTGTACAGAGGTGGAGGGCAGCTGTTCATGACTTCCTTGAGGGTTACATGCAGGGGTGGGGTAGGCACTTGGCAGAGTCTTGGAGGCTGAGGGATCAGATCTCCTCAGGCTGTGTAACTTAGCTTGCTTACAGACTGGAGACATTTTTTTTCTGTGGTTTTCTTGGTTTTTCCTTTTGCAGCTGTCACACCTTTTACAGTCATTTGGGAAACAAACCCACTGTTAAAGCTTCGTCATCCTGTTTATCATTGTCCCTGCTGCTGGCATAACACTTCCAGAAGCTTTTCTTTTTTTATATATATATTTAAAATGTTTCTTTTCTGTATGATGTGCATGCAAGTTTACCGTAACTTTTCTTAAACTTTTTAGTGCCGTTTCTAGTATATTCCTGTAAATGTCAGTTACTGAAAATGAGTCCATTGTAAGTAGTTTTAGCTTGTTTTTTGCAATGCCGGCCTCAACACCACAGAGTTAAAAACGGTAGGAAGTACTCTGGTGTCTCTGGTAATCATGAACCTTTCTCCTGGGGTGTTTGTTTTGTTTTCATAATAAAAAGAAGGGGGAAAAAGGCTATGTCTGTGTAGTTCTCTTTGCTGCCATGCCTCTTTTTTTGTTGTTATTGTTTGTTTGTTTTTGTTTTTTCAAGACAGCGTTGGAGCCTGTCCGGGAACTCGCTCTGTAGAACCAGGCTCTCATCGAACTCAGAGAGATCCACCTGCCTCTGCCTTCTGAATGCTGGGATGAAAGGCATGTGCCACCACTGCCCAACTGCAGTGCTTCTTTCTAAGGGCACAAGGCGAGCTCCTCACACTTGACTTCTTACAGCTTTTGGTAGAAACACACAGAACATCCCAAAAGGGCTTTAAAATACTTCAAGCTAAGTGTGGTGGTGGCACATACCTGTAATCTATTGGGAAGTTGAAGCTGCAGAACTGATTTTTTTTTTTTTTTGGAGACGGGTGTCTTTGTCTAACAGCTCTGGCTGTCCAGGAACTGCTCTGTAGACAAGGCTGGCTTCAGTGTCACTGAAATCGACCTGCCTTTGCCTCCCAAGTGCTAGGATTAAAGATGTGTGCCACCACTGCCGGGCTGCTGTGAATTCTTTAAGACCAGCCTACTACAATAACAATGGAGACTCTTGCAGGACAGTAGCAAAGAACTTGGAAGCTGCCATCCGTCATGGTGCTGGGGGACAGGAAGTCCTCACTTGGACTGACTGCCTTTCCGAGGATCAAGGCTTTCTTCAGACGGTCTCACCATTCCCTCCCCTCCTTGCTGCAGTCTACTGTCAGGTTATTTGTGGCATAGGCCTCCAAGTGTGAGCCCAGTAGAAATGTAGGTGAGAATCATGAAGAACCCTGTACTACGCACTAAGAATAGGCTGTGGAGTGCCTTAGACACAGTGAAGAAGGAATGGGGAGTTGGGCTTTAGGGTCTAAGAATCCTAAAGTTTTCCAAGTGGCCAAGCCATTGGCATCAAGCCTGGGCAGGAGGTTCTTGTCGGGTCCTATGGCATGTCCATTCATTCCATCCACAGTGAGTCAGGCTACCTCATCATCCTTGCTGACACTAACCCTTCCCATCAGACTAGACTCTTAGAGCACTGACCTGGCCTCCCGAGACAGATGGCATCCTCCTGTAGTCTAAGCAGCTTAGTGACTTCCCAGTGTCCTACATGGAGCCTGATGCTTATGTGCCACTCATTCCTGCCGACCCCCTGAAGACCGCTGTCCTGCAAGTGCTTACCCTCCTAACAGTCTGTGACCTCAAATCCCATCTCCAAGTCAGTGCTGTGTCTGATGCAGTCTTGGGATAGCGTGAGGTGGAAGCATTTGGCAGAAAGGCTGAAGCTTTCCTGTAGGACTTCAGCTGAATTAAAAAAGGCTTGACAAGCTAAGGGAACAGTTTCCAACTCCTAGGACTCCCTGTCAGGCCAAGCAACCTGAACTGTTCAACGAGCTTCCTCTCTAAATGTACAAGGATAGTCTACAGAAGTCCAACCCATGGCCTTGGTCTGCAGCGGGGACTAAGCCAAAGGACTTAGGTTCCTCAGGAGGCTCCAGCTAGCTAGGTCTGGCTGGCTGAAGTGTTTGAGGAATGCACTGTGTCCTGGTGGTTCTAGAACAAATTTGCACATCTCTAAAGAGATGTAGGGTATAGTGAACACAGCCAAGGGTGAGACATTCTCTTTACTTAGATTATAAGCCAGGTGCCGTCTCTGCCAGTGAGTGCCTGGTGAGTGGGCAGAACAAGTTGCAAGTGGGGGTACTGCCACTGGCAGTTTGTTACTGCAGAGTGCGAGGACATGCATGCCTTCTGACAGTGGCTGTTTGATGTATTTCCATATTGGGGCTCCCTTATCAATCATTAGCTGTTAACTGTGTTCAGAAAGCTCAGGTTTTACACACCAAGGTAAATGAGAAAGGAAAGAGTCTTAAGACATTTATTTAGAAGACTCGGCTTTGACAAAACACATTCCCTGAATTTGTATAGCTACACAGACCTTAAGTGCACCAGAGGCAAGTACGTTCCAGCTGTCTATACCATGTGTACTGAGGTGGAACATGAGATCTAATGAAGCCCACCGCGACCTGACAGGAAGGAGCCCCTATTCTCCACCATCAGGTAAATGCTCTCCCACACATGATTAGGTTTGGAATCAAATCAGGCAACTTCTATGGGGCTTTAAATTGCAGGGGTTTGCTTTAGGTGTTTAGGACATAACACACCTACATACAAGACCAGGTTGGTGCTGCAATGCAGTAACCTATACATCACTAAACTCTTGGCTTTGGAGTGCCACTACAGCCTGGGCCCCTTTCCACATGTCACTGCAGTGAACAGGGTGATCTGGGACCCTCCAAGAAGAGAGTCCCCTCTTTACCCTGGACCTGACCCATTTTGTATCAGGCAAGCAGCACATAGGAGCTGGGGACGTCTTCCTGGTTTCCCTTTTGTTTGGAACAAGCATTGTGAGCGCCAAGGCCTGGGCAGTGAGGGGCACGTCTAGGTACCAGCTGTTGATTGATAAAAAGCTGGGTGATATTCTTGGGTGTTGAGTTTTTATACCACAGCTTGATCTTCACATCCGTCAAGGGTCATCTCCCTGGGATTACATGACTGAGCAAAACTTAGACTGGCCGGTGTCCCTAGAGACCCCAAGCTGGTTTTTGTCTCGAACTAAGATGGCTTCATTTCCATACTGGGAGTACCACATGCTACGACTCCTGCTCAGGTATGTACTGGGTGGTACAGACTCCAACTTCTGCTGCTGCTGTTGCCAAATGAGCAAGGAAGTGTCCCTGTACCGGAGGCGGGCAAAGCGTTCTGACAGGGCCTTCTCTGCCAGCGGGACCCGGCCACTCATCCCCCAGTCCCAGGCTCAGGAACAGATGGCTGCTTTGCTCTGTTAACTAGTTGCCCAAGAGCCTTGATGGCTGTTGGGTTAAGGAGTCCTTGTTCCCCTTAGTCATGGATGTAGGCAACTCAGACCTTCCATGGGCAAGATCTCAGGAGGGCAGGGGAAGCCAAGACACCGCTGACTGGTTCAAAAGCCATGTGAGAGTCATTCCAGACAGAAAGTGGGTCAGATTGGCATTGTGGTCCAAACTCTGCACAATAGAGCTCTATAGACTTGGCAGAGACTCCACACCACTCTGGGAAGCCTGTCAGGTGTCCACTGCCTCGGCAACACTTCTGAACTCAGGGAGACATATCCAGGATCCCGAGAGAACGGGCATTGTACAGTCTACAGAAGGCGCTGACCATTCCACACTACTCACAACGCAGTTGGGATCTGGACTTAGTGCTGGTTCAAGTCCTTTTCTTCTAGCTACTCTTCCACTCTTAACATGGGTGACATTGCAAAGGGAAGAAGCTGTCGGGCATCGGGAGCAGGCCCAACACGGGCTTCCCCATCGGCAGCAGCCTGGATGGGGTAGAGTTCAGTAAAGCTACTCACGGATGCGGCCGGCTGAGTTGGGTGGAAGGGTGAGGCGTGTGGGCAATCGCAGGTCCCTTAATAACCCACGGATGCTTAGTGATACCGGGGTCTCTGCTGGTGAGAGAAGCGTCCCTCAAATACGGAGCAGAACTCCTGGGAGGAGGGAGGATGCAAGTCCCACGCCCCTCGCCCCTGCTTCTGGCAAAAGTATAGCTTGCCCAGCCCTGTCCAGACGTTCCAGCAGAGTAGCCTTCCCGACCAGCGTTCGTGGACACGCGTGGGCCGGGTGACGCAGGTGCTCCAGGTCCGGGGCGGGTCCAGGAGGCCGCGGCTACGTCTCCATGGCAGCGTCGCAGGCGTGGTGAGTCGAGCGCCGAGGACCGGCTGCCTACGGACCCATCGATCACTCCGCGAGGCGGGGGACTACCCAGAGGGAGTGGCGGAGTTGCCCGAGACGGGTGGGGAAGAGAAGGGGGAGGAGGAACTGGAGAAGGAGGAACAGGAAAGGTGTTGGGAATCTAAAGGGAGGGAAGAGGGGAGGAGCTGGGAGATGGGAAGAGCCGGTGGAAGGAGACGTCAAGAAGAGCAAAATCCAGAATTAGAGGCTTGGAGAGAGAAGAGGATCCCGAGGAAGTGTGTGTTGCGGGGAGAGGAAGACGTACTAGGAGATGGGGAGGAGCTGAGAGAGGCAGGATGAGAGGAAAGAAGGAGTAGGGAAGGAGCATGAGGAAGAAGAACTGTTGAGGAGAGGATGAGGCTTGAGCCTAGGAGCCTGAAGAAGCGGAGGAGGAAGGGGCGTTTTGGGAGGAAAGGGACATTGCGGGAGTCGGTGGAGGTGGTAAAGACAAAGGGAAAAGCTAGAAGAGAGACGCCTGGGGAAGACAGGAGTCAGGATAAAGGAGTGGGTGGGCGGGCGGAGAGCGCGGGAGCCTAAGAGCTGGGGAGAACTTGGGGGCTGGGTTTGAGGCGGAGCCTGGAGAGGGAGGAGCTGCTGGGGAACACGGAGGAAGCCTGGAGGAAATGCTGAGGAAGAGCAGGCCTTAACATTAAGGCACCTTCCCAGTCCTGATGCTGTTATAATGGTTCCTGCGGCTTTTCTTTATGTTTGGGTTGGGGTGCTCCAAGTGAAGTGTTGTTCTCCGGTTTTATTTCCTTTTTTTGCAGTTACTTTGTCAGACCTATTGCTGTTACTATCGACTTCCCACTCAAATGATGGGTGGATTTTTTCTCAATTTATTCCCTGTTGTGTGGGATGTATCATTTCAAAGGCAGCTATGTAACTCCATCACTCCACGTACTATTCATCTGAATTGTCCTAACAGCCCCAGAGAAATTCAGCATGCACTCAGAACTCACCTCTGCACTCTTCCATTAGACCCCAGCAACATACTTTGACCCCGTGTTCATCGTTTTCCTTCATAAAGTTATTTTCACAGTTTCCCCCAATGCAAGAATATTGACATCCGTGGGTAGGGAGGGTTAAGGGTAGAATGATGGTGGCCAGCACATGGGAGGCGGAGGTAGGCAGATCTCTGAGTTTGAGGCCAGTTTAGTATAGGTAGTGTTTCAGGCCAATCAAGACTATATAACAAGACCTGGGGGGGGGGGGGGGAGGGAGGGAGGGAGGGAGGAAGAGAGAGAGAGAGAGAGAGAGAGGAAAAAGGAATATGAACACCCTCAAAGCAGAACCAATTTTCAGAATACCAATTCTTTTGTTTGTTTGTTTTTTAATTTTATTTATTTTATGCATATAAGTACTCTGTTTGCATGTATGACTACATGCCAGAAGACAGCATCAGGTCCCACTATAGATGGTTGTGAGCCACCATGTGGTTTCCGGGAATTGAATTCAGGACCTCTGGAAGAACAGCCAGTGCTCTTAACCTCTGAGCCGTTTTTCCAGCTGTTTGTTTTGAGACAAGGTTTTTCTGTGTATCCCTGGCTGTCCTGGAACTCACTTTGTAGACTAGGCTGATCTCTAACTCAGAGACCCACCCACGTCTGCCTCCCGAGTGCTTGGACTAAAGGTGTGTGCCACCACTGTCCAGCTCCTTCTCAAGTTCTTAATGATTCCTCTTGAGAATCTTGAGTTCTTTTGTTTTGTTTGTTTTTCAAGACAGGGTTTCTCTGTGATACAATCCTGGCTGTTCTGGAACTTGTTTTGTAGACCAGGCTGGGTTTGAACTCACTGAGATCCACCTGTCCCTGCCTCCGAAGTGCTGGGATTAAAGGCACATCCCACCACCTCCTTGAGTTCCTAATGATCTTCCTGCCTTGGCTGCTAGTAGAAGTAGCCATCAAGTGACTTACCTGATTTCTGAGGGCAGGCCCCTGAGTGGTGGGCTTTTCATCCTAGCTCTACAGTTTGGGCTGCGTTCGCAGAAGATTTTCCTTTTTCTATGCCCCCTGGTGCTGCCAGTCCCTGCATGTGTCCATGCCTGGGATCTCACCAGTGCTTACTGATTAGGCCAGTCACTGACTGTCCTTCCTGATCTGTCCATGCCCCATGGAAGCAGGAACTTCAGTAGCTTCTCTGTGCCTTCCCGCCATGACAGTGGCAGTAAAACCCTCTATGCCCAGGAATCTGACGACAGAGCTGTATTTGCTCTCGGTTCTGGAAGTGAGATATCTGAACTCCTGTTGTGGACGGAGATGGGGGTGTAGCTCAGTCGATAGGGTATTTGTCTAGGATGCACACAGCCTAGGTTAGACCCCTAGCACTTCATAAAATAAAACTGGGTGTGGTGGTACAGCCCCCACACACTGGAGGGCTGGAGGTGGGGCAGAAGAATAAGGAGTTCAAGCCCATCCTTGGCTATGTAGTGAGCTTAAGGCCAGCATGGGCTACACGAGAGAGACTGTATCTAAAAAAAAAAAAAAAAAAAAGTAGAATCTGAGGGGGGGAGGGGTGGTAACACATACCTCTAATCTAAGTACTTGGGAGGCAGAGGTAGATGGATCTCTGTGAGTTTGAGGCCAGCCTGGTCTACAGATGGAGTTCCAGGACAGCCAGGGCTACACAGAAAAGTCCTATCTCAAAAAAACAACAAACAAAACAAAAAGACAAAAGCAAACAAAAAAAACCCAAAAAATATGGATAAGGTGACTCTTACTGCCAGCACTCTGGGGGAAAGTTATCTGCAGGGTCTCCTAGCTACAATGACTGCTCTCTGTGTCTGTCCATCCTTAGCTTGCGGCTGAGTCACTTCTGTCTCTACCTCAGTGACCACATGGCTATTCTTCCTCGTTGTGTCACCAAACAAATCCTCTACCCCGTGTTACTGGGTCTCTAAGGAAGCAACACTGAATCGAGAAGTCACGAAGATAGTTTAAAAGGATCTCATTGTCAAGACCCCTTTCCCCAATCAGACTCCATTCTTGGGCCTCAGGGTTTTCACACGCACACGTCTTTGGGGGACATACCACTTGCCCTGCTATAACACCTAACACAAAAATTGGTATAGAAATAAATGGGGGGAGGTTGGGATTGGTTATCTGGCCAGGTTGTGGCTGGAAGCTCTGGATACAGCTTATCTCAGGGAACAGGTCAAAGGGCAACGCTAACTAAACACTGACTAATCCGATTGTCCCCTCTGGTCACCGAGGAGGTGGAACCCAGTGGCAGCTTCTGCAGGACCCAGAATGATGAAAAAGAAAAGTATTCAGTTGTTTTGGCTACAGTATGGAATTTATTTATTTATTCACTCATTTGTTTATTCAGGAAAGTTCTCCATGTGTATCACTAGCTGGCCTGAACCGCACTATGTAGCTCAAGCGGGCCCTGATTTACAATCCTCCTGCCTCAGCTTCTTGAGCAGATAGAATTAAAGGCCTGCACCACCAGGCCTGGCAAAGCTAGTGTTTTTTGTACACAGGGAAAGTGCTGATCTACAACCATTAGCCCAAAGTAATATTTTGTATTCAGTTTTTGAAACTTGAATATATGTGAACAATTTTTTTTAATCTTATCAAACCCCCTACTTCCTCCCTCCAACTCTTCCCCGGTGCTATAGGGATGAAGACTTTGCATTGGTATGGATCTTGGTTTATTGATACAAATTTAAGGTCAATTTTGTTATATTGCTGCTCTTGATTAAGGTATTGTGTTTGTGCAGCTCATTTAAAAATGTAATGTATAATTAAAAATACAGGTTAATTGATAGTCATCTATAATAGTCAAGCTTGTAGCCATGTTAGTTAGGTTTTCTAAATGTACAGAGATTTATTTCAGTTGGAAAGACATTTAAACCTTTCAAATAGTAATAGAATATGGCATTTAAAATGTTTAAGAACTTAGGACTTTTCATGACAATGAGATACATCTGCTCCTGGCAGTACCAATCTACTTCAAGAGGATGATTCGCATCGAAGAGGCTCCTTATGGAGTTTGTTAGCCATTTGTGCAAGAAATTGCTCTTGCCTGGACTACTTGATCGTTTGTTGTATGAACTGGACATTCAGGACCCACACAAAAATAACTGCTGAAGTTGCCTAAAGAAGGTAAGACAGTCCTTCAGGGTTTCTGCTTCATAAAAGAGTCTGCCAGACGTTCTGCAGAATACAGAAGAAAGTGACTGACAAACTGCCAATAGAGGCAAAACAGTCTTTCACATTTCCTGCTTCATGAAAATGTCTGCCAGATATTATGGGTCAGTAGGCTGAAGATGGGCACCCCAATGTTACAAAAGAACTTTGGGTGACTGTCCAGGCAGCAAGATGTCTCTGTCAATTCTAGAGTTTTGAAAGTTGCTTACAATGAACTTCCTGTTTACTTAGGTAATATATCCTTCTGGCGTCTCTAATGGAGTTGAAGAATAGATAGTTATAATTATAATTGTAAATGGACCTAATGTTGTAACTATAGTTCTTGTTTGATAACTGTTTTGTTATATGTACTTTTACTATGTTAAAGTTAAAACTTTACTTTTTATTTAGACAGAAAAGGGGAAGTGTTGTGGGATGTCCTTCTGTATATGTATTGCTTTAATTGGTTAATGAATAAAGCTCCTTTGGCCTATGGCAGGGCAGAATAGAGAAAGGTGGAATTCCAAGCAGATACAGGAGGAAAGAAGGTGGAGTTGCAGTGGTGGCACACTCCTTTACACCCAGCACTCAGGATGCAGAGGCAGGAGGATCTCTGTGAGTTTGAGGTCAGCCTGGTCTACAGAGCTAGTTCCAGGACAGGCACCAAAGCTACACAGAGAAACCCTGTCACAAAACAAACAAACAAATGGCAGAGTCAGGGAGATGCCATGTAGCCACTGAAGGAGACAAATGCCTGGGAACCTTACCGAACCTTGTGGTAAAATATAAAATAATGGAAATGGGTTAATTTAAGATATAAGAGCTAGCTAGCAATACACTTAAGTGATTGGCCAAGCAGTGTTGTAACTAATATAATTTCTGTGTGATTATTTCAGGTCTGGGCAGCTGGGAAATAAATAAGCAGTCTCTGCTACACTGTGGGACAACCAACCTGTCTCCCTCCTGACTTCACATCCTTTTATTTTTACTATTGCTGTTATTATTTTTGTTGTTCTTAGCCCACTGATTCTAATTAATGCTGACCATATGCACACAGGTGTGGGATTATCCATTGGGGCATGGACAACCTACCAGTGCCCACATCCCCAGAGAAAAGTGAAGGCGTAAGTCATAAACAATGCCACACCAGTTTGGAATTATGATTAATAGGGTGGTATTTATTTAAAGGGGAAAAAACTTACAGATAACCGTCCCAGACAACAGCCCTCTGTGCAATCAGGTAGAAGTCTAGTTGCCTGAACTGGAGCAGGAAGCAAAGAGAGTGAGAAGGGAAGTAGCCGCTTTTTTAAAGGGAGAGAGACCACGCCCCAATGGGCTGGTATCTCAGTGGCTATTGGCTATTGGCTAGTAAGCCACAGTCACGTGGTGATACACA